GTGTCCTCATCTCCATTTTACGGGTGGGAAAACGGAGGCTGGCCGTGTTTACAGCACAGTGTAACCAGTCACAGGAGACGTGAGGCCAGGACACAGCTTGCAGATGGCCAGTCTGGGCACACTCTGACATCTGCTGTCCTCTCTGTATCCCGCCTGAGTCACAGTGGGTTGGACTGGCCATGAGTCATGGCTGACGGTGGCTCCTGCACATTTACCAAGGGTGGGGGTGGGGACCCACGTGCTGCAAAGGACCACGGGAGGAAATGCCGCAGCTGGTTGTGTTTCCAATTAGCAGTGGGACTGTGGCCAGGGCCTGGCAAGGTGAAGTGGACAGTGAATGGGCTGTGGGGTCAGCAGTTGGACTCCAAACCCTGTTCACTTCACTCTAGCTGGGGGACTTTGCCTCTTGAAGCCCCTACTTTCTCATCTTTAAAGCAGAAATGATACCCACTGTGTGTGCCATTCCCCGCTGCCCCCACTGCCACCAGGCATCTGGTGAGGGGGAATGAGGAGGATGCTGAGGATGCTGAGGATGCTGGAATTTGCTGAGCTTGAGAGGTGGAAGGTTGTAGATGCACACGGGAAAGGGACTGAGGCCTGCGGGTGAGGTCTGGGCAGGAGGTCTGCAGGAGCACGGCAGAGGATCGAAGGCAATGGAAGGGGCTGAGGGTGGCTGTGAAGGGCGCGATGCATCTCAAGGGTGCATTTAGGAGGTTTGTTTGCATGAGTCGTGGCAGAACGGCCCTCCTCTGTCTACCCTGAAAGCCTCCAAAAATCAGTCTCATTCTTCAAAGCATTTGGATTTGCATTTGTTGTTTTTCCTGGATGTGAAAATAATTGATCATTTTTTGGGGGGTGAGGGTGTCCTTTAATTTTTAAAAATGTCTTATTTTTTTGCATCTAAGAAAGCATTTGGGCCAGGTGCAGTGGCTCATGCCTGTAATCCCAATGCTGGCCGGGCATGGTGGGGCATGCCTGTAATCCCAGCTACTTGGGAGGCTGAAGCAGGAGAATTGCTTGAACCTGAGAGGCAGAGGTTGCAGTGAGCTGAGATCATGCCACTGCACTCCAGCCTGGGCGACGGAGTGAGACTCCACCTCAAAAAAAAAAAGAAAAAAAAAATCCTAAAGCTGTAACATAATCCTTGACTCTACGTCTCGGATCCTGGTGCAAGGGGTGGCATCCCAAGGCCTTGGGCAGTCCTGCTCCTGTGACTGCTCTCACAGGTTAGGGTGGAGTGCCTGCAGCTTTTCCAGGTGTAGGGTGCAGCTACCATTCTCGGGTCTGGAGGGTGCAGTCCCCTTTCCACAGCTCCACTAGGCGGCGCCTTATTGTGAACTCTGTGTGGGCCTCCAACCCCACATTTCCCCTCCACACTACCCTGGTAGAGGTTCTCTGTGGGGGCTCTGGCCCTGAAGCAGGCTTCTGCCTGGGCGCTCAGGCTTTCTCATACATCCTCTGAAATCTAGGTGGAAGCGACCACCTTTACTCTTGCATTCTGTATGCCCACAAAGGTTAACACCATGTGGAAGCCACTAAGGCTTATGGCTTGTATCCTCCAGAGTGGTAGCCCAAGCTGTACCTGGGGCCTTTGAGCTATAGCTGGAGCTGGAGCAGTCGTTATGTGGGGAGCAATATCCATAGGCTGAGGAGTGTCCTGGGCCTGGCCCCTGTAACCATTCTTTCCTCCTAGGCCTCTGGGCTTGTAATGGGAGGGGCTGTCTCCAAGATCTCTGAAATGCCTTTGAGGCGTTTGTTCCATTGTCTTGGATATTAGCACTTGGATCCCTTTTAGTCATGCTAATCTCTCTAGCTAGTGGTTGCTCCCCAGCCTGCTTGGATTCTTTCCCTGCCACATGGCCAGGCTGCAAATTTTCCAAACTTTCATGCTCTGCTTCCCTTTTAAATATGAGCTCCAACTTTCCTTTGTTCCAGTATCTGATCATTGGCTGTGACAAGCAGGCAGGCCACCTCTTGAATGCTTTGCTATTTAGAAATTTCTTTTGCCAGATACTCTAGGTCATTACTCTTAAGGTGCCTTTACAGCAATGCCTCGCTTCTTGGTACCAGTTTTCTGTGTTAGGCTATTTTTGTGATGCTTATAAAGGAATACCTGAGGATGGGTAATTTATAAAGAAAAGATGTTGACCTCGCTCATGGTTGGGCAGGATGTACAGGAAGTGTAGTGCTGGTCTCTGCTAGGTTTCTGGTGAGGCCTCAGGGAGCTTTTACTCATGGTGGAAGGTGAGGTGGGAGCAGGGATGTCACTTGGTGACAGCAGGAGCTAGAGAGCTGTATTTCTTTTGAAATATATGATTTGATTTATTTAAATACATAGTTTAAAATAAGCTTGAAAAATATATACTTGGTTTAAAAAATCACACCCATTTCCTATTGGGGTTTTTTACTTCCTTATTTGTGAGATTCCCATATATTAACTCTTTGTCAGACATAGCACACATATTTTGTCCAATTAAAAAAAATTTTTTTTGACAAACAAGTGAACATTTTAAGTTGTCAAATCCACCAGTTTCTCTCAACATGGCCTTTGGTGGTATAGTGGATATTGGGATTGTTTCTGGTATCCATTCTAACCCTCCCTTGTTGGGCAGCAGTTGCAAAATTTGGAAGGACTGACTCTCAATGCCAGCTACAAGGGAGCATCTACCAGTTGACAGGTCCCCAAATGACACTGGATGACCCAGCTCTTCCCACTCTTGGTTACAATTTTTGGGCAGAATATACAGAGGATGCAACATTCTGAGATAAGGTGGAACTGTCCCAAACAGCTCAGGCTTTGTGCTCATCTCCCCTAGATCAGGATGTCCTGCAATGCTGTAGCCCAGCGGACCCAGTTGCATCTGGGTTCTAGAACCCAGAGTGGAGTGCTTTTAAAGTCCCTCCTCAGCTGTGGTGTGAAGTGGGGGCACCTGCAGACAGCACTCCAGTGCCCTGGGGAGCTTTCCTAATGCTGGTGGACTGGCTCGCCATGGATCCCAGGCTTGGGTTGATGTTTGGGGCCTCTCTGTGAATAATAACGTTGCTTTGTCTGACGTGTTGTGCAGGTATTCTGTTTTACCACACTAGACGTGAAGAATGCAGGGGGTGGAGGCATGACTGCTGCAGCAGCCAGATCAGCTTTGAGCCCCTGCCAGAGTCAAGAAAACTTGCAGAACTCTGGCTGCTGGGTTTGTGCAAAGCCTCCTGGCAGCCTTAGGAAACTCAGCAGAAATTGGTGAGGTGATTAAGATGCTCTCCTGGAATTGGTAAGCAATGTGTAGTGCTCCCCTCCCAGGGACTGACATTAGTTCACAGTATTTCTGCACTTTAGCATCCTGACTAGAAGTAAGCACATGATCTCAGGGGCCCAACGGAGGCATCCCGTGACCTCAAGAAGTTGTCCTTGGCACAGACTTGAGACTGACAGAAGGAGACAGGCCCTTGAGTCATTGTTGAGCTGCTGTATCAGCCCTTCTCCAAACGCTGAGCTACTTCTGGGTTTTTTCATTAACCAACCAACTCCTTTTATAGTATCAGCTAATTTGAGTTGAACTTTGTCATTCTTGCAACCAACAGCACCCTAACTCATCCTGACTTAGTGTCAGGAAATGGCCTGTTGCTAGCGACAGACCCTATAATATCAAGATGGCTGAAAGGAGTTGGGGAAGAGGGCAGTGAAGAGGATGCCTGCCTCTCGGAGTGCGAAACTGGGGATCTTTGCTATTTGCCATCAATTATTGTGGTAGACTAATAATGAACCCCTGAAGATATACCAGGTCTTAATGCTGGGACCTGCAAATGCTACCTTAAATGGCCAAAGGGAGTTTGCAGGTGTGATTGAGCTAAGGGCTGGGTGATGGGGAGATCAGCCTGGATTGGATTATCCAATGGACCTGATGCTAGGTCAGAGGGATCCAGGAGGAACTGGAAGGAGAGAAAATGATGTGATGATGGCAGTAGAGATTACAGTGATCGGCTTTCCAGACAGAGGAAGGGCATAGGCCAAGGAATGTAAGTGGCCTTTAGAAGCTGAAAAAGAAACTGACTCTCCCCTAGAACCTCCAGAAGGGAGTGCCTTGCTGACACTCTGACTTTAGAGCAGTGAAGCCGACTTTGGACTTCTGACCACCAGGACTGCAGGAGGGTAAATGTGTCTTGTTTTTAGCCACTAAGTCTGCAGCATTCCACCAACAGCAGCCTTAGGAAACCAATACGGACAGGACAGTCAGCTTTTTACTTTGGGGCACAGGCTCGGTGCCTATGGAGAGTGCAGCACCAGGAAACTTAGCAGGGAGAACCCACCATGTGGGAGTGTGGCAGCTCACTCAGTAAGGTCCTGTGAGAGATATTCTAGGCCTGGAGCAGGCCATCTGAAAAAGGAGAAGGCAGAAAACACTTTCCAAGGAACCCAACTGGCATTGCAAATCCAGCCATCCTGAAATACTATTGCTATATATATATATATAATTTTTTTTTTTTTTGATGCAGGGTCTCTGTTGTCTAGGCTGGAGTGCAGCTGCATGATCCTAGCTCACTGCTGCCTTAAACTTCTGGGCTCAAGTGATCGTCCTGCCTCAGTCTCCCAAGTAGGTAGGACTAAGAGTGTTCACCACCATGTCTGGCTAATTAAAAAAAAAAAAAAAATTTTGTAGAGATGGGATCTCCCTGTGTTGCCCAGGCTAGTGTTGATCTCCCGGTCTCAAGCGATCCTCTCACCTCAGCCTCCCAAAGTACTGCGATTATAGGTGTGAGCCACTGTGCCTGGCCTCTGCACTTCTGTTTGCCTTTCCCCACAACAGTTCAATGTAGCTCAGTGCATAGCACAGTTCAAGCTCAATTATGATACTTGAATGTATTACGAAACACTTTATACATGTAAAGACTCATAAAGAATATAACCAACACCTGAATATAGCCCATCTGCCTTAAGAAACAAAGCATAATAGCACAATTGATCTCCTATGAATGAATTCCTTCCTGATCACAGTCCCCACACATACCTATAGGCAACCACTCTCCTGAATTTATCTTTTACGTTGTTTTTTTTTTGAGATAGGGTTTTGCACTATCGCCAAGGCTGGAGTGCAGTGACATGATCATAGCTTGCTACAGCCTCAAACTCCTGGGCTCAAGGGATCCTCCTGCCTCAGCCTCCTAAAGTGCTGCGATTACAGGCATGAGCCACCACACCTGGCCGTATTCTCATTCTTTAAAAGAAAATAGTACTAAATGGTATCATACCATGTGAATTCATATTCAACTTTTTCTCATTCAGCACTGTGGAGCCAGGTGCAGTAGTGCTCGCATCTGTACTCAGCTACTCAGGAAGCTTGAGGAGGATCACTTGGGCCCAGGATTTTGCAGCCAGCCTGGGCAACATAGTAAGCCCCATTTCAAAAACAACCCCACAGTTTGTGAAATTCACTTATGTTGATGTATGTAATCATTGTTACTAATTTATGGTATTCTACTACGTAACTGTGCAAGTTATCGATTCTGCCATAGATGGCATTTTGGTTGCTTCTCCCCCAGACTCCAACTACCACTAGGAGCAACACTGCACTGAACATTCTTGTCTCTGCATGCGGAGGCAAGGTACTCTAGAGCACATACTAAGAGTGGAATTGTTAAGTTATAGAGTGTTTTTGCTAGAAATTGCTAAGTGGCCATCCAAAATTAGTGAATGAATGTGTTCTCCTACCGGCAGTGCACGAGTTCTGCTCTGCTCACAAATCCACATTCTTATCAAGTTTGGTAAAGACAGATTTTTAAGTTTTTGCCAATCTGTTAAGTGTAACGTGGTACATCCTTAGTTTTAATTTGCATTGCTGCTCAATACTTGTTGCAAAAATGAATAAAAAAGGTTCCACTCATTACCTCTGGGATTGGAGGATCTGTCCCAATTCCTAGGTCCCATATCTAGACTCCAACATCTGTATTACTTTGGCTTTCAAAACCGGCTTTCGACTCAGACTCTCTTTTTCCGTCTTCACGTTTCTGTCATGATCCTAGTGATCCTTTGCTTAGCTGGTTTTGAAGCCTTCAAGTCAATCTCAGCCTCACTCCTTCGCCTGAAAACAGTAGTAGCAAAGCATACGGTAAGCTATAAAGAGCACCCGGATCTAAGGTGTAACCAGTCACTAAGTGCTGCCAGTTTTTCCTCTGTCAATTGTTTGTTTTTCCTTCCTTTCCCCTTCCATCAGGTTAATCCTGCTGTCACCTCGCTCACTGATTCTTGCAATAAGCCAGACTGAATTGGAAAGAACCGCCATGGTCTTCAATGTTGTGTGTAGGGGACAGCATTGTCTGAGGCTGTCAGGGCTGTATGTCACAAGGAGACCCCTGGGGTCTTCTGAGCTTTACTAGGAGAGAATCTCAGGAGAGTAGGATGCCTTGTACGTAGTAAGTACTAAGTCAATGTTACTTACCAGTAAATGAAGAGGCATGGGAAATTATTATTTTTTTGAGACAGAGTCTCGCTCTGTCACCCACGCTGGAGTGCAGTGGCACGATCTCGGTTCACTGCAAGCTCCGCCTCCCGGGTTCACGCTATTCTCCTGCCTCAGCCTCCTGGGAAATTCTTAATCAGTAAATATGCCTTATCAAGTTTTTGTTTTAAAAGAGAACTGGCAGGAGCTCCAAATACACTAAAGCTCCAGTCTGAAAGGACAGTCCCTGAGCCTTCAATCTTTGGCCTAAGACGCACACCAGATACGGATTTTTTTAGTGGTTTTCTGCACACACACACACACACACACACACACACAAGTAAAAAGATCTAGGCATAACGTACGCACCTGTAGTTCCAACTACTGGGGAGGGTGAGGCAGGAGGATCACTAGAGGGCAGGAATTAGAGACTAGTCTGGGCAACATAGCAACACGCCCCACCCCCACTCACCCCCCGGATAAAAAGAATAAAAAAGGTAAAAATAATTTTACAGAGAGTAAAAAGGAATGTAAAAAGAATTCATTTTATTTAATTTAATGTATTATTAAAAATGTTATCTGACATGCAAACAATATACAAATTATTTTATACGACGTCTTTGGAATCCTGTATTTCACACGTAAAGAGCATCTCACTCCGGACTAGCCAGGTTTCAAGCACGTGATAGCCGCACAAGGCTGGAACTCAGGCCAGGGGAATTAATGCTTGTCTTCGGTGCTCAACCACTCTTCCCTCCAAGCCTGGCCTAATCCCCACTCTCTCTCATGCCCCCGAATACGCTCCGCGGTTATGCCCCTCACCTCACCGCACTGCAAATATTTCATCCACTGAGGATTTGCTGATCCTCACTCAGTGCCCGCAGACCCAGCTTGACCAGCACCCGCAGCCGCCCTACCACTGTTGGGCCGGGTATGGCGTAGGTCTGGCTTCCCTCTGTTCTGGGCCGGCTCCGAGACGCGCTCAAGAGAAACCGGAATCAGACACGGGCCCAGCTCAGCTTCGCAATGTAGGCTCCACTGGCTCCTGGGAGTCCGCTACCTGCAGGAAGGCGCCGCGGTCGGGTCGGGCTAGCCGGGAGCGACAGACTTAAGCAAACACGAAACCCAACCACTTCTGCTCCCTCCGCGACGCGCGTAACGTCCGTCGCGCGGCGTCGCCCTTTAATGCGGTCGGGTTCTCGGAACGCTGCGTCACTCGCCACCTGGGACTTAGGCGGGACTTCCGGGCGCGCGTAGGCACAACTTCCGGAAGGAGGCGGAAGAGCCTCTCGGGTCTACGCACTGGAGTCCCGGGACCAGTGAGGGGCCACCCGGGGCACAGGAAAGGCCCGCTGGGGGAGGATCGGCTGCACTCGGGGTGTCTTGGCCGCGGGTCTGAGGGATGAGGAGGGGCCATGGCCAGCGACGGGGCCAGGAAGCAGTTCTGGAAGCGCAGCAACAGCAAGCTCCCGGGCAGGTGGGTGTGCCCGGGAGGGCCGGGTCGGGGTCAGGGGTCAAAGGTCAGGTGGCCGCGTTGGCCTCCTGGACTGCGGGCGGAGTCGGGGGTCTGGAGCGGGCAACTTGGACTCTGAGGAGACTGCTGGGTGGTGTGACGGGCGTTGTGGGACTCGGAGGTCGGAGCGTGGGGTTTGGGGGTGACAGTGGCTGCACGTAGGATCGAGGCTTGCAAGGACGAGGAGGAGCTGTTGGCGTTTTTCCCGACACTGGCAGACTCCTTTCCGAAAAACTCCTGGGCTCCCTGGGGAGGCTGGAAGGAACTGATTCGGGTCATGCTGTGAAGTCTGGTGGAGTTCGGAAGCTGGCCGGGCTGAGGCCCCGTCTGCTGGGCAGATCAGTTTCTGCAGGGGGTGTGGTGCTTTTGACCCACTTGATTTGCCTCTGGTCTCTTGTGGGCTGCTGCTCTTGCCTTGAGCGTGCAAGAGGATTAGAGTTTCCCTGTGAGTTTCCATGTTTCTGCTTGTTGGTCTCAAAACCAACTCCTATATTGTGTTAGCAGAATTTTTTTTTTTTTTTTTGAGCCTGGAATGACCTGGGTACACCCTAGATGCTATTACAGCTCCAGAGCTCCAGAGTCTTTGTCTGACTGCTGTGGCGCTGAGCTCTGCCAGGGCCCTAGGGAATGAGACATTACCTGGAGGGTACCTAGGATAAAATCAGCCACTGGTGAAAACAGATCAGAGATAAGCAAACTTCAAGATTTCAGAACATAGTGTGTTCTGTTCCAAAGTTGAAGTCTGGAATGCTGAAAATTATGAATTGTGATATTAAAACAAGTCTGAGTAGAATCATTCATAAACACAGGAAAATGGTTTGTACTCCAATTTCATAATAAACACTATCATTTGAGTGTTTGAATGATAACCTTTGCAATTTACTGCATCCAGTTAGAAAAGTTTACTTTTGGCGGGGTGCGGCGGCTCACGCCTGTAATCCCAGCACTTTGGGAGGCTGAGGTGGGCAGATCACCTGAGGTCAGGAGTTTGAGATCAGCCTGACCCACATGGAGAAACCCGGTCTCTACTAAAAATACAAAATTAGCCGGGCATGGTGGCACATTCCTGTAATCCCAGCTATTCAGGAGGCCGAGGCAGGAGAATCACTTGAACCTGGGAGGTGGAGGTTGCAGTGAGCCGAGATTGTTCCATTGCATCCCATCCTGGGTAACAAGAGTGAAACTCTGTCTCAAAAAAAAAAAAAAAGGAAAGTTTACTTTTAAGAGTGGTCTGGGAGTTAGCAGAGTGAGTTACTGACTGCTCGTGGGTGACTTCGAGAATGAAGGGAGTCATCAAAGGTGGCCAGAAACCCTATTTGACTGTGAGTGATTCGAGAACAGTAAGAGCTTCCAACAAAACCAGTGTCAGAGTCCAAGATGAGTGAAGATTCTGGAATGGTGGTGAATAGGAGGTCCTGGTAGTGACAGGAACAAATGCTATGGAACATAGAGTCCGGGGAAGAGGAACCACAGGACAGTATAATTTTTTTTTTTTTTTTTTTTTTTTGAGACGGAGTCTCGCTCTGTCACCCAGACTGGAGTGCAGTGGCCGGATCTCAGCTCACTGCAAGCTCTGCCTCCTGGGTTTACGCCATTCTCCTGCCTCAGCCTCCCGAGTAGCTGGGACTACAGGCGCCTGCCACCTCGCCCGGCTAGTTTTTTGTATTTTTTAGTAGAGACGGGGTTTCACCGTGTTAGCCAGGATGGTCTGGATCTCCTGACCTCGTGATCCGTCCATCTCGGCCTCCCAAAGTGCTGGGATTACAGGCTTGAGCCACCGCGCCCGGCCAACAGTGTAACTTTTATGTGTTACTTTTTAGGTCTTAAAGTTTTGGTTCCTCATCAGTCTAACCTCTAATTCTTAATCAACCGAGATGTAAGAATAACAGAGCTGCTGTGTAGAGTTACAGCAGTGACTCAACCTTTGGATTGAAGGCTGTGGCCCTTGGTAATTTGTCCTTATACTGAGTTGAATATTGTTTGCCCCCTCCCCCACCGCCTGCCACCAAATTTATGTCCATCTGGAACCCGTGGATATGACATTTGGAAATAGGGTTTTTGCACAAGTAATCAAGGTAAAATGAGGTCATACTGGATGAGGGTGGGCCTTAGTTCAACAACTAGTATTTTTCTAACAGGAGGGAAATTTGGATACAGAGACACACACTCAGGGAAATGGCCCTGTGGAGACAGAAACAGAGATTGGAATAGTACATTTACAAGCCGAGGAAAGCCAGGGGTTGCTGGCAGCCACCAGCAGCTAGGAGAGGCAAGGAACGGTGCTCACCTGGAGACTTCACAGAGAGCATGGACCTGCTCATGACTTGATTTTGGACTTTTGGCCTTTAAAACTGAGAGAGAATAGATGTCTGTTGTTTCAAGCCATTCAGTTTGTGGTAATTTATTATGGCAGCCACAGGAAACTAATACAGTCTCCAATTTTCTTCTGTGTGAACCTGAAATACCAAAGAGCAGCTTTCCTTTTCCTCTGACTTTGATGCTGTTCTGTGTCTTAGGCACTTTTGAGAGCAGCTTCCGTAATACCTTTGTGAAGCTGGAGTCTTGGAGAGTTGTTTGAGGCTGTCACTGAAGAGGGCAGAAGGAGAGGTTGGGTACACCAGGAAGGCCTGTGAACCCTCTGTGTTTCCCACCCATCTTGTGGCTCAAGCCTCTGGCAGTGCCGCTCTTTCAGGTGGCAGGCTGGAACTCCTCCCTGAAGGAGGAGTCACAAAGTGATGCCCGTTTTCCTGTCACTAGTGGTGATTGATCATCAGCTGCATATTTATTTAGTCCACACCTACGCAAGCACAGTGCTAGTGGAGATCCTAGCCAGGTTCCTGTGGCTTTGGCAGCTCTTTCAATTGTTTCCCGTGATGGTTTTCTTTGTTTTTTTTTGTTTTTTTTTTGAGACAGAGACTCCCTCTGTTGCCCAGGCTGGAGTTCAGTGGCGCGATCTCTGCTCACTGCAACCTCTGCCTCCCAGGTTCAACCAATTTTCCTGCCTCAGCCTCCCAAGTAGCTGGGATTACAGGCGCCCACCACCATGCCCGGCTAATTTTTTTTTCTATTTTTAGTAGAGGCGGGGTTTCACCATGTTGGCCAGGCTGGTCTCAAACTCCTGACCTTGGGTGATCCACCCACCTCGGCCTCCCAAAGTGCTGGGTTTACAGGCGTGAGCCACCATGCCCAGCCTTGTTTTCCTCTTTTTTTTTTTTTTTTTTTTTTTGAGACAAGGGTCTCACTCTGTAGCCCAGGCTGGAGTGCAGTGACACAATCTCAGCTCACTGCTACCTCCACCTCCTGGGTCCCGGTTCAAGCAATTCTCCTGCCTCAGCCTTCTGAGTAGCTGGGATTATAGGCACTCGCCACCATGCCCAGCTAATTTTTATATTTTTAGTAGAGTTGGAGTTTCACCACCTTGGCCAGGATGGTCTTGAATTTCTGATCTTGTGATCCACCCACTTCGGCCTCCCAGAGTGCTGGGATTACAGGCGTGAGCCACCGTGCACAGCCTCGTTTTCCTCTTTTTTTTTTGAGTGTAGCCATCAACTCAGGGAAACTCAGAAAGAAGACTACACCTGCTGTACCATACAAGACTAGTAAGGGATCTTGCAGATAGCTCAACTCTTTTTTATTTTTGAGACGAGTCTTGCTCTGTTGCCCAGACTGGAGTGCAGTGGTGCGATCTAGGCTCACTGCAACCACTGCCTCCTGGGTTCAAGTGATTCTCCTGCCTCTGCTGCCCAAGTAACTTGGGTTACAGGTGTCCGCCACCACGCCCAGCTAATTTTTTTGTATTTTTAGTAGAGATGCAGTTTCACCATGTTGGCCAGGCTGGTCTCGAACTCTTGATCTCAAGTGGTCCACCTGCATCGGCCTCCCAAAGTGCTGGGATTACAGGCGTGAGCCACTGCTTCCGGCCAGTAGCACAACTCAATAATTCCTTATGGCAATAATGGCTAGTGTTCATTAAACACTTAGCATTTGCTAGACACTGTTTTTGGCGTTTTACATGTTATGTCTGCTGGTGTTTTGCAGGAGACATGCTTGATCCTGCACTCCCTGAGGCAGTCGTGGTTTAAATTCCTGGGTTTTTTCCCCTTCAGTGTCATGCTGAGAAGTATAAGTGTTTTTGCACGACATCTAAGCCCTTTTTTTTTTTTTTTTTTTTGAGATGGAGTCTCGCTCTGTCGCCCAGGCTGGAGTGCAGTGGCGCAATCTCGGCTCACTGCAAGCTCCGCCTCCCGGGTTCACGCCATTCTCCTACCTCAGCCTCCTGAGTAGCTGGGACTACAGGCGCCCGCCACTGCGCCCGGCTAATTTTTTTCTATTTTTTAGTAGAGACGGGGTTTCACCATGGTCTCGATCTCCTGACCTTGTGATCCGCCCGCCTCGGCCTCCCAAAGTGCTGGGATTACAGGCGTGAGCCACCGCGCCCGGCCTGACATCTAAGCCCTTTATAACCTGGCTGCTCTCTTGCTTTGAGCTTTGCCCTCAGCTGTGCTGATGGACTGCTAGGTTCCTTGGCACACCATCCTGTTTGATGACCCTGTCACTTTCATGCTTTTGTATCTGACCAGAATGTTTTTTCCCCTCCCTTTCTCCTGGCTTAGCTTTTTTTTTTTCCCCCCACTTCTCAATATACACTGTCCAGCATACCTCCTGTTTTTATGCAGCCTGAACTAAAGTCCCCCTTTTTTGCATCAAACTCAGCGTGGTTGGTACCTCTGGCTTCCTGTTGTCCCTGGTATGTGCTTTTGCTTTCACTTGTGAGATGCACAGGTTTGGGAAATGTGTCTGTCTCATTCTTGCGTTGTCAGTACCGATACGTGGTGTTTATTCCAACCTATCTTCTCGGTTAGCCTGGAGAGTGAGTGGTTTGGCCAGGGTTATATACTGCAGGAGAGGTGGTCTTGCTAGTAGACCTTCGGTTTATGCACACCCTCGTCCTTAGGTTACGTGTT